TCAACTTAATTCACTGGGTGAGACTCGCAAATGAGTCAACTCATTCACTGGGTGAGACGCGCCACTCACAAATGAGTCACAACTTATTCACTGAGTGGGACTCGTCATTCGCAAATGAGTCACAACTTATTCACTGGGTGGGACACGCCACTCACAAACGAGTCTCAACTTAATTCACTGGGTGAGACTCGCCACTCACAAACGAGTCTCAACTTAATTCACTGGGTGAGACTCTCCACTCACAAACGAGTCTCGACTTAATTCACTGGGTGAGACTCGCCACTCACAAACAAGTCTCAACTTAATTCACTGGGTGAGACTCGCCACTCACAAACGAGTCTCAACTTAATTCACTGGGTGAGACTCGCCACTCACAAACAAGTCTCAACTTAATTCACTGGGTGAGACTCGCCACTCACAAACAAGTCTCAACTTAATTCACTGGGTGAGACTCGCCACTCACAAACAAGTCTCAACTTAATTCACTGGGTGAGACTCGCCACTCACAAACAAGTCTCAACTTATTCCCTGGGTGGGACTCGCCACTCACAAACAAGTCTCAACTTATTCACTGGTTGAGACTCGCAAATGAGTCACAACTTATTCACTGGGTGGGTCTCGCCACTCACAAATGAGTCTCAACTTAATTCACTGGGTGAGACTCGCAAATGAATCACAACATAATTCACTGGGTGAGACTCGCCACTCACAAACAAGTCTCAACTTAATTCACTGGGTGAGACTCGCCACTCACAAACAAGTCTCAACTTAATTCACTGGGTGAGACTCGCCACTCACAAACGAGTCTCAACTTAATTCACTGGGTGAGACTCGCCACTCACAAACAAGTCTCAACTTAATTCACTGGGTGAGACTCGCCACTCACAAACAAGTCTCAACTTAATTCACTGGGTGAGACTCGCAAATGAATCACAACATAATTCACTGGGTGGGACTCGCCACTCACAAATGAGTCAACTTAATTCACTGGGTGAGACTCGCAAATGAGTCACAACATAATTCACTGGGTGAGACTCGCAAATGAATCACAACATAATTCACTGGGTGGGTCTCGCCACTCACAAATGAGTCACAACTTAATTCACTGGGTGAGACTCGCAAATGAGTCACAAATTAATTCATTGGGTGGGACTCGCCACTCACAAATGAGTCTCAACTTAATTCACTGGGTGAGACTCGCAAATGAGTCACAAATTAATTCACTGGGTGGGACTCGCCACTCACAAACGAGTCTCAACTTAATTCACTGGGTGAGACTCGCAAATGAGTCACAACATAATTCACTGGGTGGGACTCGCCACTAGCAAATGAGTCTCAACTTAATTCAATGGGTGAGACTCTCCACTCATAAATATGTATCAACTTGTCGTGTAAATATTGATATGATGCATGTGTACATCCTTTTTATTAATATTTGATGATGGATATATAGCTTACATGCTTCATTAACCAAAGAGATAAGACAATATCAATATGGTCACATGCATTACATTTCCCATGCAGCTGATCACATGATACAGATCGTGAGAAACTATACATGTTCTTCACTGAACAATTTCCAGTCTGCCAGTAATATTGAAAAATTTAAGTATATCATGAATACATCAGAAATAAAACTCATTAAACATGTTATTACCTATCTTAAATCATCTTATACTCTACATGCTAACTTTCAAGCACAATGAAATTTTTCTTCTCTTAAGCACTATTAGTACTGTACCTAGTAGTAGTTGCATCTTTTTGTTATACTTTTATTACAGTTAGCTAAAATTGAGATGTAATTTCACAATACGGCATAATAACAGTTATTATTATTATTATTATTACATGACAAAGGCATATAAACAAGACCCTGATTTCGTAAAACATTTTACAATTAGTGGTTCATCTCAGCTCGTTTTTCCAAGTATGTCTCAGCTTCTTGAATGTAATCTTTGTTCATAACATATTTCCGTTTCTACATTCATAGCCACAAACAAGTGTTACTGACCCTAATTTTCTATGGTGCTAGTGATAAGATTAAGCTTGACTGCACGTGGAACTCTGATAAGAAAGCCATACCTCACAAAGTATGCACAGTGATATTACATGATTTTATTGAGATCTTCATTCCGTATCGTTAAGCATTATGAAAATTGTATACCGGTACCCTTATTTCTGTACCTTTGCACGCATACTGTAGACATGTTAATCTCACTATTTTGATATTTCAGCATATTTTCTGTGTTTTAAATTCCTGAATTTGAAGCAAAACAGTGAGTTCTATTATAACTTTAAATGTTCACATACATTTAATTTAGCAGATTTCACTAAAGCACAGTCACTAGTAGAGTAGGAGACTGTGCTGAAATGTGAACACTGGAAATACAACATATGTTACATTTGTCTCAGTTTTATTATTATTATTATTATATGCTATATACTGTTGTACATTAAATCACTTTCAAGTGAAAGAAGATGTCCACAGGGTTGCATCCGGGACTCCAGAGAGTATCATCTATTGAGATCTATCAGGGTTGGGATATCGAGGTCCCTGAAGAGAATGTCAAATAGTTGCCAACTTGAGGGGCTGAGTCTCAATTTCTATGGTCCCTATCGCATGATTAAACTCAAGGAAATGGCAACAACTCGACCCTTAGTTTTCCTATTGCATTTTATGTGTCATTAGCCTTGTTTGGAATCACCCATGCAATCATGTCTAAAACAAGATTTAGTCATCTTTAAGCCGTTATATTTAAAACAAACAAAAATTTCAAAATCACAGCTGTTGTCGCTTTAAGCATGGAGGTAGAAAAGAGAAGGAATGAGGACGCTATTTAAGCCCATGTTAATCTTATAAACATCCTTTGTCTTCGGTCTGGTTAAGCCACTTATTGTTTTTGTTTAGAAGTAGTTTTATCTACATGATGATAGCCGCTTATTTACACAAGAAAACTAGAGTATAACTGAAAAAAATAAATTCCGTTTAAACATAGTCTATAAAGTTGAATGCGCAAACCATAAATAAAAGAATTGTGCATGCGTAATGACCTTTATCGGACCACAAAGGTCATTTCACACTTATAGATACCGGAAATTCTGCATACGGACGCTACCAAGATGTGTGCTTACTTCTTTTCTGATATTTTTCATCGCAATAGTCGTCCAACTTCGGACATTGATTGAAAAAATCACGCAAATTTCCGCAGTGAAATTTAAAGATACATGATAAGATTATAACAAGATGTTTTGACGAGTCATTTTTCATTGGTGTGCAGAACTGTGCAGATGTCGAAAATCGCGCCTTTTGTAGTAATAGATTTCGGGCGTTGAGTACACTCAGCGTACGTTTTTCGCTGCATTTTGTATTATTGTTATTTGTTTGGGCATGCGCAGTGTGTTGAGAATCTTCGTGAAGCTTCCGAATACAGCCGAAACACATAAGCCAATTAACTGTGACATTGTACAGCGTGTTTGCAAACTAATTACAATGTGCACTGAGTAAACAAATCCAAAGCATCATGAAACCAGTGGAAACAATAGCGTCCTCACTCCTTCTCTTTTCTACCTCCATGCTTTAATACATTTTGGCTAGACAATATTTGTTACGTCCATCATCATTTTGTTGATTTATCAGTATCTTCAACTGCTATCTGTCGGCAATAGTTTGTTCACCCAGTACGGCTAAGGTTCAACATTCATATTTCATTCATATTTGTGAAATAAATTAAATATAGAGAATTGTTTTTATTTTTTAATTATTTTTTTCATATTTGATAACAATTAATTTTGTTACTACGTAATGTCAATCATTTTAATACAATTTGGATAAACATATTACTGTAGAATACTTTATTTTAGCTGGAATTAATTTTTGCGGAAAGCACTTTTTGGGTGTTTTGTATGGAATTTATTTTCACTGATTTTTGACAAGTTGAATGTAAAATATAGGAAAAAAGGTATATTCACTAGATTTTATTTTCACTGAATCATTCCTTCAGCGAAAATAGCGAAAATTAATTCCAAGTGAAAATAAAGTATTCTACAGTAGTAGTAATACCACATAACAGGTAGCCTGCTATCTTCTGGAAACAGTCAAATCTACTTCCTGTATCCTGATGCAGTACGTACGTCCCGAACACTCGTACAAAATAACTCAATATGAAATATAAGACAACCTTTAAAGAAAATAGTTTAGAGGTGAAATTAAGTCCAGGTGTAAGGGGCAAAGGTTTGTATTGTGATACAAATTGCTTGGCTAGGAAAATATCCAGCTTTCTGAGAAATTTAAGCAACTAAAACCACATGTTTTATAGAAATGAATTCAAGGCATAGTTTCAAGAGGGAGAAAACTTGATAAAAAATGGAAATAAAAATACCCGCTCAATGAACCTTGTTTTTTTTTTTCACGAACCAAACTACTATAAGTACAGACACGCGATACGATTGATACAATATGGTGCAATATTAAACTTTGATAACTGTGTGTTGACACAGTCATTCTATTCCACGCAACGATTCAGCACAATGTGTTCAACAGAGAGCTACCATTTTTAGGTGGTAACATTCATACATTTCATGTCCGGTTCGTGGTTTTCATTAAGCCTGAAAACGTGGACTTCAGGAAATCAACCCATGAAAACGATAAAGTGCGACATGTTTAACCACGAAAATAAATGTCAAGTAATTAACGAGAATGGCGCTACTCACTGAGCTCTAGCGGCTGCCATCTTCCCTCTGCTTATCTGGTTTGTGGACAACCCTTGTGCCAACGACCTATTTCACACGGGGGAAAAGGTCAAAAGAAATATATAATTTCTTACACCTGCCACTAGATGGCGCACTATAATACTACATCAAAATAAAATAAAATAAATATACAAAATAAAAAAAAGCCAAAACTAGGATTTTATTTTGATCAGATTGTACTGGGATCAATACGCAAACAATAATATGACAGAACCCCATCGAATCAAAATAAACTGCAGTACATATGTAATAATCAAATTTACTTTGCCTGCCTGATTCATTTTCTGCAGTTAATTCAATTGAGGCCTACATCCATGATATCAAAAACTGGATGACAATAAACATATTTCAACTTAATGAATCTAACAAAGAAACCCAACAGTCAAATTAACTCTGCTTTCTTTGTAGAGTCTTCCTCAAAACAAAGTTGATAATGTTCTGTATGATGAGATATTACTGTAAAATCTGTATAAGAAACCGCGGCTTCTATTAAAATGGTACAATGCAATAGAGGGGATGAGGCTTCAATTAGAGCATCTACACATATGAGAAATGACGAATTTTTGGTTCTCAATTATTCAAAAAGAATGGGTGCGACTTCTATTAGGGATGCGGCTTCTAATACAGATTTTACGGTAACTATTTGCCAAAGTTATTAGTGTTCCCACAGCGTTCTTGCCATATCACAACCATGACTGCTTTTGGTAGTTGCCATGGAAATTACAATTGTTATCTTGTTACAAATCTCAAAAAAAGGTAAACCTTACATACCAAGTATCAAAGCAATTGGGCCGATAGATTTCAAAAAGTAGAAAATAACATTTTTTACACAGAAAATATTCAGAAAAATTAGAGAATTGGAAATATTGTCACAAAATGAGTAAATTTGACAGAGGTCCACCAAAAGTACCTATATACAAAGTATCATAGAATTGTGCTGGTAGTTAAGAAGTCAAAAAAAGAATTGAATGACTAAAACGGGCACAAGTTGATTCTAATTCAGTCCATGGTTAAATCTGTTTGCAATATTGGGGCAACATCTGACAATAACTATGTTCAACGACCACTAAAAAAATAATTTGCAAATCTGTTTCCTTTCATCCATGTTGTATTTGATAAATCAGAAAATACCTAAGCACACCAAATTGTCCAACAGTAGTTCACAGTATTTTATCAGAATAGATTACACCAATTCATTACTCGCTACCGTTACCTCTGGAAAGCGGCATCAAAAATACTAACTCTATGCAGAAAGATAAACTATACTATCTTCATTGGTTGCCAGTTTGTTCTACAGACTTAGAAAGCCTTTAAATAATCTCACTCCAAGCCATCATGATCTCAATCTTATTTTAGACTTCAGAGATGCTTTAAAAAAAGAGACAAAACCATTTTGCAGCATTTAATACTTTAACAGGAACCCTATAAGTACACATACCAATTCAAGACAAGTATATGAAATATAGTTTAATAGTAAATGTAATAATTACAATAGATGAAAATACATTAATATAAAGGTGAGATATAAATCCACATACAACTCACAACGGTGTACATCTACGCATCATATTCTAAACCACTAATCAAGAAATAACTATCCATTACATCATACTTATCTGGATAAGACGTAGAAAATGATACAGACTATCAACTTAAAAAAAGTATACCCACTGGGAATAAGGTCAGTGCAAGAAATATTTCAAGTAAACTACTAAATATTCCCTCACAAAAGTCTTGATACAACAAACGAGTTAGGTGCATAATAAGATGTAGAATAGGCAGAAGACGCTAGATTCAACAACCCCCATGTTCATGAATAAGAAAATAACCCCACTGCACCAAGCAATTCAAACCAATTTAAAGTAAAACCATTTTTCGCTAACTAGTCAACTTTTAAGATAGAAATTAATCCAAAGTTGGGCAATAATTTCTCTAACCATTCATAAAATATAATCAAGTCAATTGATAAAAAAAAAATATATACAATTTTACTATATTATTTAAATACAGTTGACCATTATCATATATTTAATATAATCTTAATATTTAATAAGGAGGTAGATCTGAACATCTATTTAAAGTGTTTTAAAGCAAATATATGGCAAATTCACAGTAAAATATAACTGGTTGGATTTATTTTACTATACAGAAAATTAAAAACAAATTTTTGGGTCATCGGATCATTTTCACAATTATTACAGATGGTCTGCTAACAAAACAAAACTCACCCATCCTACAAAGAAAAGTGTCCATTTGTGGGGGAGAAAACCAAAATTATTTGTACAGGTTTCATTAGTAGTGCATACTACTGGTAGTACTCAAATTACAGAGGCATTTGTATGCAAGTTTTTCTTTATATGTGCTTCTAATAGAGTAAATACAGTAAATTTTTCAATTGATATATAGGCAACTTATCCTGTATATCGCCATAGAAATTTGTTGGCAATACGAGTTTAAGTAGATTAACCAGTCATCTGTATATAAATACTTCTATTTTTAATTTTAATTAGTGTTGGCTATTTTTGTTGGAGGGAATGGATCAGGAAAATAAAACACTTCCAAGTCATCATAAAAAATAATAATTTTCAACATCTATAAATTCAGCTAAAATAAGAAATATTTTGCAGTAAATGCCTTACGAGTTTAAACTAATGTGGTACAACAATTTTATCGCTGGGTTTTCATACTTCAATGGTTAGGTTAGACAACATCGATTACATTATAAGTAAAAATATTTTGTATTAATATTATTAAACTAAAACAACTTAAGTTTGAGATACTTTCTGAAAGTTTGGGGCAAGTTCAAGGCATAAAACACTATTTAAATAAATTTCATTCATTAATGGCAATCTGCTTTCTATGGCTGCAAGAAAATAACAAGCAGCCTATTGGCTGAGATAGCTCCGCTGTTAGCAATGCACATTTCAATTAAAGAACTGAAGACATCATTAGAAAATGAACAATATGAATAGTATCAAAGCAATCGGACTTACAGTTTTTAACAAGAAGTCGAAAATATCACTTTTTACCAAAAATTACAAAAATATTCACCAAAATAAATTAATTAGAGAATTGAAGATATCATCACAAAATTAACAAATCTGAGAGAGGTCCACATGTAGTACCTATATATGTAATATCAAAGTAATCGGACTTACAGTTTTCAACAAGAAGTCGAAAATATCACTTTTTACCAAAAATGACAAAAATATTCACCAAAATTAGAGAACTGAAGATATCATCACAAAATGAACAAATCTGAGAAAGGTCTACATGTAGTATCTATATATGTAATATCAAAGCAATTGAACTTTTGGTTTTTAAGAAGAAGTCGAAAATATCACTTTTTACCAAAAATTACAAAATATTCACCAAAATTAGAGAATTGAAGATATCATCACAAAATGAACAAATCTGAGAGAGGTCCACATGTAGTACCTATATATGTAATATCAAAGCAATCGAACTTGCGGTTTTTAACAAGAAGTCGAAAATATCACTTTTTACCAAAAATGACAAAATTATCCACCAAAAATT